AGCCTCCAACAACCTTAAATTATTTGTTATTTCTCTAAGTCTTGCACTTAGTGGTGGTGATCCAACTTTGTCTATGCTCATGTCTTCATTTTTCTTCTCTATACCAACAGTACCTGCAAGGTTATAGCATATGTGAAAAAAATAAAACCCAATGAAAGTTTATATTAGATACAGTAACCAACTTGTGACACAACCTACCATCATCTGGAAAAGAAATTATTTCTTTGACATCACAAAGAACTTCGGGAGTAACTTCTAAATCTGTTGCTTTATTTGGTGGAGAGGCATCCTGAGATGCAAAGATAATTCTTAGTACACAGATAACTCCAATTCAATAAAGTGCATCAGTAGCAGTGTAGCACCTTGCAGAAAATGATTGAACTAAATTATTACTGTACAACCAAATATTGCCTTACCTTTTCTATATTTTTATCGCAGATTGTTTCCTTGAAAGCACTTGGGATTTCCTGAATCTAATACATTAGTTAAGCCTGTGCATAGCCCTCAGAACAGCAAAAAATAGAAGGAACAGAGATGCATTCACAAAGTTTAAGAGCACATACATTTTCTGCTGATAATATCAAGCCTCCAGAACTATCTGAATCGGACTTATCTTGAGAAGTCTAGCAATACATAACAGTATAACACCTTAAGTTCAATGTGGCATAACTAAACAATGAATGATATCTTAACACATCTTTAATAAACCAATGCTTCAACTGATTAAGTCTTGTACCTTTTTATGGAAGGAAGATGCGATGGTTGAAGCATTTTTTGATCGAGGCTTAAACTTTGTAGCTGAGATGACTTCATCCTATGAATCAATGACATGTTAAGGTATTAATCAATGACACATTGAAGTGCTACATAGACAATTGCCAATTGATTTCAGCTAGACTAGAATAATTTCCATCATTTTATTGAACCAATAAATCCAACTGAAAAATTAAAAGCAACATTTCAGAAGTAAGGGAGAAGACTTTGTGCAGTGAAGAAGTTCAAATTTCACACCCTAAAATTAGAGGTACAAACTACAAACCGGATGAGTTGACAACTAAAGTAGTGGGCTTGTAAGTAAACTATTCTTTTAAAATAGTTGATCCAACCAATTATACAGGAATCAGAACCAAGATAAAACTATGTCTGGACAAAAACAATAGATGCATGGTTGGTTACCTGCTTAGAGATGACAGCTTTTCTCTCACTGAATAATTTCCTTCAATGAAAGCGCAAAAAGCAATGTTTCAGTACACATCAGTCAATAAGCAATATATGCTAGTTCATTATATGATATGCCATGTAGCAATACCTTCCTGTTAAATTGCTAGCAGAGTTGTTCTTTTTCCCAGACAACGGGGTACCCATTAGTCGTACTTGTTGATTAGTGTGCTTTTTACTTTTCATTGCAGAGCTTGTCAAAATCTGACCAGTGCTTTGACAAGATCGTGAAGCCAAACTTGCTACATAAAGAGTATCTTGGCAAGGAATTGGATTCTATAACAAAAAAAATGGAAGGGTGAGAAAAGAAATCTTCCAAACCAAGTTTTGGATCTACAGTTCTACACAAAATGTCAACCATGTAAAAATGAGAAGCCATTACCAAGCAGGTAAGCAACAAAACATGATTGGAGCCTCCAAGAGATTCCTGCAGAATCCGAGTGAGTTTGCCTTCTCGATAAGGCACACGCTTTTCATTTGTGTTCAGAGCATATACCACATTCATAATGGCATACAAAGATTTGTTTATTCTAGTACTTTCAGTAAGTGAAATTCCATCTTTGCTACTTCTTCTGGAATCCTCATAGCCTGAGAGCACAAAAATACAATGAAGATAACTAAAAAGCAATTGTTGAGCATAGGTGAATATCTCTACAATTTTTGAAGGTTTAGGACTACCAGACCTGCCAAATCCACAAAGTTCATCACATTGGGACGTTTACTACCCTGGATGTCATCGGCAGATGCTATATGTATCATTAAACCTTTATGACTCCTTTTGGGCATTTGGAGTGGTGTCTTTTGTGCTGAATAGCATGGTGCGGTCCAACAAGCGCATAGATCATGAAAGTGTGAAATAGAATCCACAGTGGCCTGTGTACAAGAAAAGAAGAGTAATCTTAACCTTTTCAATGTGCAAATTGTCAATATTTTACAACCATAATTGGATTAGACTACTTTAACTTGCCTTAGACAATCCTTTGAGCTTTATTTTTCCTTGAGAGTCTTCAAGAACTTGAACTTCAGGATGATTAGGATCCAAAAGATCATAGACATGATCCTGGAACACCTCATAAAAGGAAACGAAGACCACTACCGCTTTCTCTACATCCTTTGTTTGCGAAAGGATCTCAGCTATTGCCATTGCTGCCAAACCTTGTTTGTCCACAGAACCCTACAACACAAAGAAACAATATCCTCAGTTTCAAAGTAACAGAAAGTTATTAGAAAATCATGTTGGATAATTACACAGAAGACCGACCTGTATTGTGTGGGTTTTTCCACTGCCTCTTGCCCCATATGCAATAATGGATGCATTTCGACCACTTAGAACTTCTGATATCAGTGGTTTTACCTCTATTGAGAATACTATACCATTATCATCGTCTTGTTCATAGCAATTATCTAATTCATATACATCTTTACGGCTGCAAAAAAAAAAAAACGAACTAGAAAATCTCAGATTTTCCCCTCCCAAAAAAAAAGAAGATATCCGCCTAGGCAATTAACTCAAAAAAATCAAGCTCAATTCAATGCCAAAAGAAACAAATCTATGCACAAAATACATTAACAAATAGGTATCTACAAAATTTACCAAGAAATCATAGAATCTCACATAATTAGAACTAAAACAAGACCTAATAGCTAACATATAGTCAAATCCATGGGCCAACATACTTTGGAAACATAAAATATACAAAAAAACATTGAAAATGAAACTTGAAACCATCTAAAATTAATGAGTCACCACAAACATTACCTACTCCCTTCATCTCCGAATGAGATTGTAACTTTTCCAGACGAATCAGAACCGTTCTCTTGCGACCGGGAAACAGTGATCCACGGCTTCGAATCTCCGCCGGGAATTGCAGATTGCTGATCGGTAAATCCTCGAATTTTTCCAACAATTCGCACCCTGCGTGAGATTCTTGGACCGGCGTTGAGTTTCAGGCGATTTGAATCGGGCGTCGACAAAGCCATGAGAAATTCTGCGTTTGAAAATTCACAATTTTGGATGAATTAAGAAGAAAGTGAATGAGTGATGGTAGTATTATTTTGTCTAAGAGAAATAGCCGTTAGGGTTTGATTTTCAAATTCTTCGTCTCTACCTTCTGGCGCTCTTCTACGCTCCTTTGCACGACACGCTACATGTAATGCTAATCTCATTTTATTTTATTTTTTAGTTTAAAATTAGAAATAAAATGAGAAGTTTATAGCAGAAAAAAAAATTAAATATAAGAAATTAGGATTTTTTTAAAAAAAAAGAGACTAAAAGTGATTTAAAAAGAAACAAAGGCATTAATTTTTATTTATAATTTTAAAGTATCGTGACAAATTTTGTTCTACTTAGACCTAAATGTAGAATTGTAGGTTTAACCTAAGATATGATATAAAGATTAATAATTGAATATGTATTTAGGTTTAAAGAAAGTAGATTATGATGATCGTAATTAAACACTAATTGTTATAAATTTATTTATGTAGGTAAGAAAATAAGCAAATAACATTAAGTTAATGGGCAATAAAATAAAAGAGAGAATATTTTTATTCAGATATTTCTGATTGAATTGATAAGCAATTTGACTAAAGGAAAAGAGCGTTTAGTTATTTATTTATGTTCAATTCAAGAGCTAATGAGTAGTAGTAATGAAAAACTGATGAGGTGCAAGTAAGGTTAGTTATGAGTACTAGTCCTGAATAAAAAAAAAATCAATAATAGTTTGATCATTATTCACGCGTTGCTTATGTTATTTACATGAATATTTATAAAAATATATGATTGTTATAACAAATTTTAAATTTTTTGGAGCTAGTTATTTTGTCATTCTTAATTATTGGATATCATATACTTAACTCCGGAGTGAAGCAATTTCAAATCGGCGCAATAGATTTATGTTAACCTCAAAGTGAGCTTCGAGTGGATTAACTATGCACTTCTTTGACAGTGAGCTTTGAGTGGATTGACTATGCACTTCTTTGACTCTTGGTCAAAGTCGCCTTAGTTAACATGAAACTTGCATTGTCACGTGTCATTCTCTAATTATTCACGTATTGAATTCATATTTAACCTATACTCTTCACTTTTAAATATTAATTTTTTCATACATAGTCATTTCTAAAGGGTGAGAAGTACATAGCTTAATTCTCTCGTATACCTAACATAAGTAATCAAAATATAGAATAGAAGTTTGTTACATATTTAAAGACATTAAATATACTCATTTTTGACGAACTTAGCGGGAAAAATCGCTTAAAACTAATTTTAAGGGTTTAAAGCCGTAAGCGTCCCCTGATTTGTCCACATTTTCTAGGACCGATCTGGTAGTAACTTTTTTTTAAAATTTTTCTTTTACATTATTTAAAAATCAGTGTTTAACATGAAAAATTTAAATACGACTTGAAATTGTTTTTAAAATTTCAGAACACCCTAAATTTGTTTGGCCATGAGAATTTTTCATTCCTATTTTTTTCCCACTTTTTTCACTTTCACTATAATTATTTATTTCTTCAACTTATACCCTAGATCTTTTAATATAAAAATAATTCTATTTCATGATTAAATAAGTCAAATTAAGTGATTTTGTTAGTTTTTAAAAATTAAGGAATATAAATTGTAATGAAAAAATGCATTCAAATTCTAAATATCTTTTATAAAAAAAATATAATTATACATAACTCATACTTAAATTTTTTAAATAAATTTTTTATTTAATATCCCCAAAGATCAAACATTATTTTGTCATATTTTTTTTCAGTTTTATATTGGGCTGGTTCGGGTTTGGAGCATATGTCAAAAAGTCCAATCCAGCAAATTTCAGAGAAGAGTTCCTTCTCAGTTTTCTCTGTGAATTTTTTTCCGTGAAAAATACAAAGGAGGAAGTGGAGCTGTAGAGAAAAAATGGAGGGGAAAACGGAGAAGGAAAACAAGTTTGTGAGGAAGACGGCGTGTGATGTGGAGGCTCTGAAGAAGTGTTTGGAAGAAAATAAAGGCGACTATTTGAAATGTCAGTCTCATGTTGAAGCATTTAGGTCATCTTGCTCTATCAACAATTCTAATTCTTCTTCACCAAAGCTCAATTCCGGTGCGGATTCTGATCCTGTCATCACAAAATCCTGAAATTTTAGTATTGTTAACTTTTTTTGTTTCCTTCGAGTTATTGCTTTTTTACTTGCAATTAGGTTGTTTTTGTCGTAATCAATAACGATGCAATATTGGAGGTTATTCTTTTTCATTGATAAAGTTTCGAACTTGAATGCTAAAAGATTTGTTTTCTATGAAAATATTGAGCTTTTTTAATTGTGTTGGACAAATGGTGAAATGGGTTTGGTTTACTTTGCAAGAAGATTCTTTCAAGTCAACTTGCTGCTTTGATAAGTGTTTGTAATTGTGCTCATGGATGGAGCTAACGTGAAAAAACCTGTTCTTGTAAACATAATGGTCAGTTTTTTTTCCGTACAGATCGATGTCTCAGATTTATACTAGGGAAAAAGAGACTTTTTATGTGTATTATGGATGTTTGGACGAGTCTAGTTGTAATCCTTGACTTCGCCAACAATGTCGGAGCCAGGAATTCTCAAAAGAGGGTTGAAAAGAATGCAAACTTGCACAGTGGGTGAATGCATTGAGCCTTTTTGGTTGAAATTTATATATATGATGATAGGAGTATATAAAAAAGAATTTGTTTTTATCCTATCTGCTAAGTGTAGCTTGTAAAGAGGATCTATTAAACCCCCTTCAGTACACTTGGATACCTTTGTCTGCCAACAGAAATTGGTGTATGACTTGAATGATTTTATAAGGCTCTACCGCTTTAGTATGAGTTTCTTTCAAGAGTTACCTTTGGAAAGAAAACAAAAACAAGATTTTCAGAGGGTTGATAAATATTGCTTTAGGGGTAAAATAACATTGTTGGTAGGTTCAGCAGAACCTTGTCAGTTGTTGATTAGTCGTTAATGATTCATAAATATTAACTGATCTAGAAATTAGGGATCCTAGAGGAAACAGAAGTTGGAGGGGTACAATTGATTTGTTTGCTCATAGATACTGTCAAGGACTAGGTGTTATATTACCATTCTGATATATTGGCTTATCCTAGCATCATTGTGTTCCCAATACCTGGATTCCAAGTTTATAAAGCTAAAATTATGGTGGTACTGTGAATGAAAAGCAAGTGTAAAGAATTGTACTGGAAAAGTTTGATGTTGAGAAGTGTGAAGTTTACAAAGTAACGCTTGCTCTATCCTCATCCACCATAGGTAATTCGATCATTATCTTTTGTATGCTCATATTTTATGTGAAGGGAACTTTCCCACAAGCTACTGCTTAGACTAGTGACTTAAAAATTGAACCACTTGTTAGTTATCTGATGTCTAGGTATCGACATAATATTACTTTAACAGATAGTGGTTTAGATGCATTGGTAATTTGCCAACTTGGGTGGGGAGTTCCTAATGACTGTCAGGCAACTTCAATTATTGCTGCAGGTTTAGTCTTTGTTCCTTATAAATTATAGCCACTGTCCTGTAATCACATGGACTTGGTGTGAGATGCATGCATCTTAGTTGGATTTATGGATATTTAATGGCTTATATTGGGGCAGCAAATGTTGCATACTTTTTAACTTTCAAGTTGTGACATTGCTGAGGACCTGAACAAATAATTTCCTCCGCAACACTTTAGGTGTTTAAATGGAAACGGTTCACTCAAATATGGTGTCAGATCATAGTAAGTCCTGAGCTCGAGTCTTACCACCACCCATTGACAAAATACTTCACATGGTTGGTCAAAAGAATCGGGACTTGAGAAGAGGGCATGTCGTTGACCTAAATATATAAATAAAGTTAGTAATTCCTCATCCAATGATATAATACAGTAACTGCCATGTATATACCAGATTGGAGAGTGTCCATAGCTGCAAGTGTTGCATGTCGCACACTTATTTTTTCTTTAACTGAAAATTCCATAATGCGTAGATCTGCTTGACAGTTGGATACTTATTGAAGTCCCATATCTGAATCACCACTTGTATCTATTAAATTTCTCACATACGAGTGCATATGAAGTAGTGATATATAGATAAAAAAAAAAGAGAAACATATTAAAGTATCACAAAGCCCCGATTGCTATTTCAGCTCAGTTAGTGCTCAAAGTTAATTTTTAGCTAGCTTTGTTATGTCCAGTACTTTTCTTGCTTTCTTCCTAAGCAGACTGCAATCAATCTTTCTGGACGTTCAGCTGTCAGGGTTCAGTGTTCTCTTTGATGTTCCATTTTTTCTTTATTTCATTTTGGATAGCCGCCTATGTGTCATTAAAGCTATGATTTAGGAATGTTTGTGTATTTGACAAAAGTATGTATATTTGTATGTGAGTTTCTCAAAATGAGAGTGTAATTTACACTTAAATCTCACTTCACATTGCAACTGATTTCATTTTATCCCCTTATATCCAGACAAACTGATCATTTTCTTGTTAAAAAGATACGCACGTAGGAAGGCAATAACATGAAATTGACAAGTGACCAAGCCTGTTTAAGAAAATGATCTTCATATATTAGAGTACTAGGTAAATTACTTTTACCTTCGCTTTGCAGTTGTCGAGGACCTCAAGTAAGCAACTTGAACGAAGATTGGAGGACTGAAATCCGTGTCTTTTGCTGCTAGCAGTAATAAAACCAGAAAGAAGATTCAAGTGTAAGTCACCACATTGTTTGTAACATTCCTCAATTAAGGATATAGGTTTCTTATCTTTGCTATTTCTTCAGCTTTAATATCTTTTCAGATACTCTCCCAGAAATTTGTAGTTTGTGATAAGTAGCAAAGAAGAGAACTAATGAGGAAAACAAAATGTTGGTGGATGAGCAGTTGAAGATTATATTGGCTGCTTTTAGTTTGTACATGCAAGTATTTCCTGTCACAATATGAAGAACTGAGTAATTTAAAGTTCCAGTGGCAAATTTAGTGACAAAAAAAGAAGGAATTGTGTTTGCCCTTTAAATGAGCTAGTTTTTAATTTTTACCCTTGAAATCGAACTTATGTCTAGCGGGCATAGATTCTTTAAGGACGCAGGTAGGGGTGTGCAAAAACCGAGAATCGAAAAAAGAGTTATTGGTTTATTGTTATTGGGTTATTGGGTTAACGGTTATTTTATGGTTTTACAAAAAAAATATTATTGGGTTATTGGTTCGATATTGGTTTTTTAATATTGGGTTATTGAGTTAACTAATAATCTATTAAGAGTATAAGAACCCTACACAATTAAAACTACTTAACTCTACTCTCTGCATTTATCCTTTAGGTTTTAGTGTTACTTAAGTGTTTAGGTTGACAACGTCAAAACCTAAGGTTTGCAACGACGACGACGAGGGTTAGGCAATGGTTAGGGTTGTAAATTGTGAGTATTTGCTATACTTTTTACTACACTAAGCAGAATTTTTGCACTCAATGAGTAATTTGATCTTTCTCTTTTTTATTTCGCGTCAAATTGTTGGATAAGTCATATATTTGTTTTGAAAGCATTTTTTTATTGGTTAAAACCGAAAATCGAATCGTTAAAAGACCAAAAACCGATAAACTGAAAACCAATAACAAATATCTTATTGGTTTGATTATCGGTTCAGCATATTTAAAACCCAATAAATTGAATCAATAATACTTAAAATCGATCGATACACACCTTTAGACGCAGGGCATAACACGTGGAATATTATGATGCAAAAATATAACTTTATACGTTGCAAATAAATTCATTTACTTTGAGAGGTAAACTTTAAAGACGACCAGGGTAAAAGTGCAAATGACCCTCTTAAAAAGTGATTTTTGTTCTAGCCTATCTTCTTTCAATGATGATACAATTCCTTCATCGATGACAATATTATCACTTTTTAAGATTTTTGTTCTAGCATATCTTCTTTCGAAGATGATATATTCCTTCATCGAAGACAATATTTTCACGCGCTTGACTGAGGGGGAAAATAGGATTTCGTATGCAAATTTGAGACCTCAATCTTGAAGCTTTTGGTGTATCTTTCCGACTCTATTTGTATGTGGAATTTGTTGCTGATGGATCTAGTCCAACGGTCCCCCTCTTTCTCTTGTGACCTAAAATAGTTACTCCTTTTGTTTTATTTATATGATAGTGTTTATCTTGGCACAATGAAAGAAATGAAACGAAGATTTTTGGAGCTTATGGTCTAAAACAAGTTTTAGACATCTTTATGATTATAAATCATCTCATTAAGAGTAAAATGAAAATTCTAAGCTAAATTATTTTTAAATATAAAAAGATGTTACTCTTTTGGACCATCTAAAACAAAAGTATTGAACAACTGAGACATAGAGAATAGTGAGTAGATATTATTGTTTGCAACAAATTTTAAATACTTGGAAAATAAATCAATCATAAATAAAAATCTAAAGAAACATATTTTATTGATAAATAGTGTGGGCACAATTTTGCTCCTCCCTTGATTTTCAGGCCGTTAGTGGTGTATTTCTCAAATTAGGATGATTTAGATTTGATCTCTTTATGAATATTTTATGAATTTGTGAAATAATCGAGATGCCAGGGAATATAATACATTTTATATAAGCATGAACTAAGATTTAAGATTGAGCAGCCTCTAAAAATCCTAACTAGAATCTAATACACGAATCCCAACTAAAATTGAACACGTCTTGCAGCTTGCAGAGTCCCACAATTTTTCAATATCTACGATTATAAAGTCATTTAAAAGTACATTGTCAAGTGCCTCTATTCCTTGAGAAGTTGCCATAAAAAATGTTCTTAATTTTCTTCTAGAAGATACAGAAACTTCAATTTTAATCAAATGAACTCAAACACAAGTAAATTGATCCTTGTGTAAGTTGTAACTATTTGTGTAATACTGACCCCTTAGGTCAAGACTGACCACCGCCCAACCATCCCTAATACTTATGCCTAGTTAATACTAATATTTATCTTTCTTGATTAAAAAAAATAAAGATTGATCCTTCAAAAAAAAATATCCCCACTCACCATAGTCTATCATGTTTCACTTCTAATTGGTTTTTCCTTTCTTAGAATAAAGAGAAGAAATATAAAATATGTCATCAGGGGTCTATGGGAACAGGGAAAAAAAATGGCTCAATGTCCTCGATTGCATATAAAATATGTGTTTTGCTTAATTGTCGTGTTTGCTCGACAGAGTCATGAATCACGAGTTAACCAAGTCAAACCTTGACATTGAAGAAAACCAAAAAAACACCTCACCAATTTTAATTCGACAAAAATTTATTTACACCCGATGTTTGATATCAAAATAAATGATTACGCGACATTGATCTTGCACATAATTTAGCTATAGTTAGGTGATATGTATTTTATTTTATTTTTAAAAAGTAATTACGATGATTAATTGTTTAATTCGATGTAAACATCTTTACTAACGTATTTTTCCGTTATAACAAGCACTCTTCCATCAAATGTGCTTGTTGCCTCCTAATGGCTTACAGTGTCTTAAATTCATCCTCCAATTTCATTGACCTTATTTTTTTGAAAAAAATAAAGGAGTGCTGTGGTGGTTGGTGGGGGTGGGGGGGTTTAGAGTCGGCAAACTCTAAACAGAAATTGTCAAACCTTAATAAATTGCAAAATGTCATAGTAATATACTTACTAGTAGCTTGCAAAATATTATTTTCAAGTACACGTTACATGCCTTATATTCTGCAATAATTATTTATTCTCATTTCTCTGTAAGGATTACTTGTTTTCACATCTGTCTTTTCCACATCCCTAATGTAGCAATTGAGACTTATGACGCAGAATCTTTTGATGTGAGGCATAAGGTATTATTATATCACGTTTGGTTGGAGGTATTAGGCAGTTTTTGGATTATTTATCTCACCATTTTTTCCATAGTGTCATTGAATACATGGTGAAATAACTTATCCCGGGATAACTTGTTCCCAACCAAACGAATTAAGAGACAAATTCATTGGATTTAGAGTCAGTGAGTTCAGAATGAATACAAGAATGAATACAACCAAGCATGACTCGCCTAATAGTTTATACATAGTTAACTGAAGGGATACTCTTTCCAAGAGATAGCTGCCCTTCTATATAAGTATACATAAACACAACAGAAAGAACTAAACAGAAGAAACTAACTTATCTCCTGAGCATGTCTGAGTCTCAGACTTCAGTAAAACTTCCCATTTTCGACATTTCGAGGCCATTGAGTTCATCAAATTCCCTCAAGTCCCTTTCTTTAGCTTGTAAAGAATGGGGCTTTTTTCACATCAGTAACCATGGAATTCCCAGAGACTTATGTAAACAACTTCATTTCCTTTCTAACCAAATTTTCGATCTCCCGTGTGATGTAAAGCTCAATGCTGGACCTTTATCAAATATAAGAACCTATACTCCTCACTTCATTGCTTCCCCTTTCTTTGAAAGCCTCAGGGTGTCTGGACCTGACTTCTTTGCTTCTGCACAAAGCACTTCCCAAGCCCTGATCAACCAGTCAATTCCAGAATTCAGGTAAAATCAAAAACCTTAAAACACTACATCCAACTTGCATGTATCTCGACTATTCATCTAGGTACTTGTTGCCTCCTAAAACAAGCACCAGGTACAGGTAACTCTGTCCATCAAAGCTTTGACAAATGATTTTTGTCTCTAATAGGATTTGAACCTTGGTTTTCACAAGCTTCATTGACTCCTAGACCACACCATTGAATGCACTTAACACTACACTTTTTGTTTTTTGTTTTTATTATTGATGAAAGAAATACTCTGCTTTTCTTGCATACATCATAAACATTAGTTTAAGATTGCTTGACCACATGACTTAAGTCACTCTGGTAAGAATTTAGCATTTTTAATGTTTTTCTTTTGTCCTTTGCAGTCATGCAATGGAGGTATATGGGAGAAAAATGGTAGAAGTGTCCAAAAGCATTGTTGAGGTCATACTGATGAGCTTAGGTCCTGAATTTGAGCAAAAATTTGCATCGGAATTCAAGAACTGTCATGGCTATCTAAGAGTAAACAACTATACTCCACCCGAAAGCACGGAAAATGTACAAGAAAAAGTTGAAGGGCTAGGGATGCACACTGATATGAGCTGCATAACAATAGTGTATCAAGATGAAGTTGGTGGACTTCAAGTGAGATCCAAAGAAGGCAAGTGGATGGATATTGATCCTTGCCAAGACACACTTGTTGTGAATATTGGAGATCTCTTGCAGGCTTGGAGTAATGGGAAATTGAGGTCATCTGAACACAGAGTTGTCCTGAAAGAGCCTGTGAGTCGATTTTCCATCGCGTTCTTTTGGTGCTTTGAAGATGAGAAACTGATTGTTGCACCACAAGAGATTGTGGGGAAGGGAAATTTGAAGGTCTATAAGCCTTTTGTTTGTGCTGATTATTTGAAGTTTAGAGAAAGCAATGAGAAAGGCAAGTTTGAGAAAGTTGGTTTCACTGTCAAACATTTTGCAGCTAAATAGTAGTCTTGGTTACTTGATTTGTAGCATTTTCTTTTGTATAAGTGAGGTTAAAAACAATTATACTATTTTGGTAATGGAAGTTGTTTGTTCTTCTCTTTCAAAGTCCTAGTTATGAATTCTATATACAGATACTTCTTTTCTTGAGTTTAAGTACTATGTTACTAACCGTGTAAAGTTCTCTTCACTGTCTCCTTTTTTGTACCTGGATTTGTTGCACTTGAGCCAAGGGTCTTTAAGAAACAACCTCTTTACCTCCACAAGGTAGTAGTAAGGTCTGCGTACATTCTATCCTCCCCCGACCTCACTTGTGGGATTTCACTGGATATGTTATTATTACTAAACGTGTAAAGTATTTTTATACCATCAGATCAAATTATCTGCAATAGCAAGCACAACATATTCTAACATAAAATAAGCAACTTGTTTAACATGTTGAGTTACACAGCTAGTTCAAATTATTTGGACAGTTGTTATATTATAACATAAATCCTTTCTTTTTCCCCAATTTGGCGGCACATGAGTTTGCTTCGACTTAGTTGGTGGCAACTCAGTTATGTTTGACCTTTTGCAGCTTCTAGAGGTCACCAGACACATTCTTGAATGAGGTTTAGTTATACAACGACATACCCAGTGAAATCACACAGGTGGAGTCTGGAGAAGGTAGAGCATATGCAGTACGCAAGTCAGTACGCAAGTCAGATCAACTCTAACTCTACCTCACGGAGGTAGAGAGATTGGTTCCAAAAGAGCCTTGCATCGAATAACATATATCCGAAGCAGTTTGAGAAAGAAAATACAAAAGTAGAGAAGACATAGCAAATGATAAAATAGGCCTTCTCAACCTAGCTGGAAATGAAGCATCTAAACCTGGAAGAAGAAAAAACCTACTAGACCATCAAATGTTTGAGAATATAATTAGTCAACCAAGAGAATTTAGGCAAAATTCTCTTATTGGCAGCTGAGGGACTTGTTCTTAGAAAAAAAGTAATGTCACTGATTATTGCAGGGGAAAGGCCAAGTTTTCAGCAGCTAAGAGCCAACAGTCTATTTGTATGCTACACTTGCACAATATAGTTGGCAAAAGAAAAGAAAAAATAATAATTCCAGACTATATTAATCACGAGATTTTGTCCCAAACAATGCCAGTAAAGGTACATATAATCGTTATATAAAGAATCAACACGCATTACAACTTTTCCTACATGTACCATAATAATCAGGAGAACCAACCATAAAAACAGGATTCCTTTCACACTCTCCAGTAGCAGCCCATCGAGTACAGTTCTCATCTTCATCGGTACAATAGGTGTCACCATCTGATTGTAGTGGATCCTTTTGTACAGTTATACTTCTGAGATAGAAGAATTTGATGGCATACCACATTTCACCATCAATAACAGGGCATCTTGCATGGGAGCTACTCCTGTCAGGGGATGCATCGAGGTGGACATTGAAGAACACAATTGCATTTCCTTTAGTTGGTCTCAGGGAGTCCCTACTCTTCGTACAGTCAGACAATATCTTATTCTGCACCAGGAGTTCGAATAAATTAGAATAAAAGCACAAACAACAAAGATGTCATTACGGAACTAAAAGTACAACAAAGCACTCTCTTTTACCTCTGACTCAGGGAAGAGGATCTGACCACCCTGTGTCACATTTGATAGATACAAAATGACAGTCGCCATTAATGGTTCGCTGGACTTGAGTGTGGAGTTCCTCTCAAAATAACCATAATTCCCCTTTAAACTCTCACGCTCAGAATGCAGAACATGCAACGGCTTGCTGTTTCCTGAAGGCAAGGATGATAGCGGTCAGTCATACAACACTGAGAAGGCAGACTCAAAACCTTCAGTTGGGAGGGGTACCTAGAAAGAAACAAATGAAACTTGCATGTCTGGCAATGAAAACTACCTTTCGGCAGAAAGGTCCAAGCTGAGATCCTTTCTTCGATCCTTGAGGAAGTAGGATCCTAGAATTTTTTGATAAAGGTAACATTAGTAGTAGGATCCTAGAATTTAAAGAGCAATACAAAGAAACATGTTATGAGTACTGAGTACAGTGTTTTATCAAGCATGAACTGCTCTTTCTGCCAGCAAATTCAGTGAGCATGGAGACCATTCTCATGGTAAGCAGAGTTTAAAGAACCCTAATGCATAATTACTAATATCTGGAGTCCATTCTCATGGTAAGCAGAGTTTATAGAACCCTAATGCATAACTACTAATATCTTCAATCTACAAGGCTAAACACTATCTACATAATACAAATGCTTGTCACATCTATGCTTTGAAGAAGCATTAGCTCATATAAAGAACCATGTAGATAACAAGAACTTACCTTTGCATCTAAGGGAATACCCATAGTTGGAAACTTCACTGCATCCACAGAAGCATTATCAATTGTGGAGCTATTTCTCGTTCCATGCACCTATAAAAATGCATTCATGCGAAGACACATTTTAGAAACTTTCTAAAGAAAAAGTATAGCAGTACAAGTTGTGAGGCATTGATTTACCAAAGAGATTAAGTGATCAGTCTCTTCTGCTGAGAGAAAGTCTCTATACAAGAAAACCCTATTTCAAGAAAAAATGTTCATTATTCCTCCATAGTCCATACAGAGAATTATTCAAGTAATCTCATCAAGAAAACCAGGAAGCCAAACAAGCATGCCTTCAAAACACCAACATAACAGAGAAAACTTCTCTTCTTCCTTTTTTTGGGTGAACTTACTTAAATGCAGAATTCTGCGTTTTTGAAAATCTCTTTACATGCCACAACATATTGAAGAAGTAACAAGGTTAATGAATGAATAGACTACCTGACCTTGGTCGCCACGAGAGTTGAACGACGCGTGAGGGATCAAATCTATTAGAACGTACAGGATGGCCCGACTGTATAATGACATCCCCATTCACCTCCTCAGCCCTCAATTCTTTTCGGCCTCTGAAACAAATTGTTGTAATCATGTAAAGCACCATTTATTAAAATCACTCCAAAATTAATGGTTATCATTGCTCTTCTTACATTTAATAATTTGCACCTTAGAACTAGTTGAGTAGTATATCTTCTACAGTACAGTCGAAAAATGTCTATCTTGAAAACCACAAGCCAACAAGATAAATCAGGTTCTTTTCCAAACTCCCAATACTAAAAATCAGCATTTTTGACACACTCATAGAAGCTGCCAACTTCTAAGCTCAAAAGACGGAAACTTTAAGGGGGGAAAAACAGAAAAAGGCACTTTATACTACTCTCCGTTTCAATTTCTTTGGCTTACTTTTCTTTTTTGTTCGTTTCAAAAAGGATGTTTTTTTTGGAAACTCTTTAAATTTAGCTTTCACCATGAACATGTTTCAGACCACAGAATTAAAGGGCATTTTGCTACATGTTTTCCAATCTTCCTTTGTTTGGTTGGTCAAGAGGTTTGGAAAACATTTTCGGAAAACAAGTTACTTAAAATGAGGAAAATGACTTCCCTAATGGAAGTAGGGAAAACAAGTGCATAAGTGACATTTTCAAGTGTATTGTCTCCTCCCCAATCCCCACCCCTTGACCATCCCACCCCCTGCCACCTCCGAATCCCCACTCCCCATCCCATTCCGCCTCTATAATGTTTTACTAGATAAAATATAAATGCTCTTAGGATAATATTTTCTTCTTACTTACTAACAGTGGCGGATCCAGGATTTAGAGTCCGTGGGTGCCAAATGGGATTCGAACCCGCAACCTCAACCTTCTAAAGTTGCCCTCCTACTGTGGGCACCACCAAGTCAATTTTGTTCTGTGGGTGGCACGCTTTATATTTATATAAATATAATATATATATATACCTATGTATAAAAGAGTTTCCGTCGAAGTTCGGGGGTGGCGTGGCACCCCCACAGCCCTTCATATATCCGCCACTGCTTACCAAACACTAGAAAATAAGTGAGAAGCACAGTTGATTTCAAGGAAAACATTTTCCTTCTTAGCAAACACACCCCTTTTACAAAATTCAAAAAGTTTTTCTTTACTTTCTCAAAACCAAACAAACAAATTGAAACAGAGAGAGAACTAGTTTCTGCATTTGTAAACTCCCCTATTTAATTAAGAAAAATCAACCTGGATTACATGAAGATTTTTATGATTACCTCAATCGTACTGCTATTACCTTAAAACTATGAATACCAAAATAAAATCTATATCACAAAAAGAACTCAGATCAAGAGAGGTTTGAATCTAAAAATCATGAGCAACGTAGCGATTACTATAGAGAATTAAGGAATCAATAACTGAAAGAGCAATAGAAATCAAAGCTAATAAAATGCAGGGAAATTAGAACAACTTTACTGACTTTTCAGCGAAAAGAAGCTCGGAACAGATCCCCAAAGCCACGAAGATGACAACCCAAAGAAAGTTCGCCATTGTTGTAACAGAGCGAAAGAGAGATTTTCTTTTTGGGGAAATGCAGAGTTTTACTGACACGGTTGTTCGAATTTCCAAAGGGATCTGTGAAGTTTCGACTCACTCCCTTGAGGACCACCATGGAACTTCATGGTACGTGGCACAGTAACATGCTGCCATCTGTTTCTTCTTTCATAATAGTAACAATCCATAAATATATTATTTTTTTGGTTACTATTTATATGTCGTCTGAAAAATGCTTAGTCATTAATATTTGTTATTTCACAAAATCAATGTAAAATAACACTATTCTATCTATTTTACCCGAGTTATTATCCTTGATCATAGTAATGGCCCTAAAATGGGTTGGTATAAATATTTTCTCCCTCTAAGAGAAGTCTTATACAAATTGCTTTTATCTGAAGTGTGGAATTTTTATTTTGCTTGATAGATTTTGTCCATAAAATAGATGTTTCAATTTTTTACCCATGAGACACACATGTAAGACAGTGAATTTGCATTAGTGTAAAAATTATGCCTTAATAATGTATAAAAGTTTAGAACTTACGTATGTTGTCAAGTTCTAACTTTAATTTAGTAAAATAGTGTAAATTATTGTCCGGTACAAGTTATTTTTTTAGAGCTCTTCAATTATGTTTTATCTCTAAGACGAAAATTATAGATTATATCGTAAGTTAGACTTCAAAAGAAATAGTGTAAATTATTGTCCAGGGCATAAGATACAGTGTCACTCATCCTATAGTGCAAAGAAATATTTTCAGCAGTTAAATTAACACATTATGCTCAACTATTTAGCAATTCTCCATGAAAAAAATCTTCACACATAATAATCTTACAGAAAAAAAGGACTAATAAATACATCCATTTTAGCATATGTTCTGAAAGTTCTATAGATTTATATTGATACAAGCCCTTACAGGCTGACACACCAAAAAAAAAAAACAGAAGAAAGAACCATAGTGTCAATCAAAATGAGATTAAAAGAATTATGGTTTAATCAAAGAATGATGAGTTTACAACATTGTGTATCACTGGGATCTTGATCTTTTTAATATCTTATGACCTGATTCATCCTTCTCATATAGACGCTCAATCAGTTCATCCCAGTTATCTTTGGTCTTGCTTCTACTTGACGACCCTGGGGATGAATCCCGGACTGATGTATCAGACTGTTCTTCGTCTAGTTCATCAAAAGTTCCGTAATAAGAAGGTGAAAAAGCATCTGGAACAGCCAAGGTGACAGCTCTCTGTAGAGCAGCTTTATGCTCCTCGTTGTGCTCTCTAGTTAATGTCTGTTGTCGCTCCATCTTTTGCTTTGCTGGAATTTTCGTCACATGATCTCTCTCTTGCATCAACTGGATGCACAAAATAAATATGAATGTGAAGAACTGTTGAAACCGATTTAAGCTTGAACACCTACCGTGCAGTAACACAGATACAAACAAAAGCTCTTTTGGAGCACATAATAGAATAGAGTAGAAAATTCATTTTACAATTCAATTGAATTCACAAGATACTTGCTGTTCATTAAAAGTATATTCAAAACAAATCACTCTCATATTTCAAGTCCTAACTATTACCATAATTGAATGCGACAATAGTTGCGTAAGAAAAATGAATGATTACCAAAGCTTCCCATAAATATTTAAATATCTTATAAATCTATTAATATGCTATGCATCAATACCAAGCAAGTCAAAGTTGGCAATGTAAAATCCTCTTTATTATTTCCAAAGAGCTCACAAGTTGCTAAAATTCTTCAACGCATCTACAGTCGTAAGTACTACTAACTACAAGAACGCATCAATCCACATGCTAAAGGAACCAATAGATGCAACCACAGTTGCTGCTTTAAGTTTCACAACTTAGTGCTGAAACAACTAATAAGGTGAAAGGCATGGACCACTTGTGCGGAGAAAAAAATTTACCCTATCTTTATCAAGACGTAAGAGAGCTACAACTTGTATTCAACCACCCTTAAGAGTGATGAACTAGTGTCAAGAAGGATTGCACTGATTAACTATCTTAACTGATGATGGAAGTAGATCACAAGTGCCCTACGATGGTGGAGTGGGGACAATACCATTTGATAAGATAAGGTGGAGAGCACATGATGTGAATTCCTGAACATATTGGTGCTAGTTTGAGCTTTGAACCATCTCAATTCAAAGTTAGCGCAGCAGTTAAATTTCTGTTGTGTCTATTGCAGAATGCAGCAGGCATACGCAAAACCATGAATTTATGGAATATCTATTCCAGATAGCCTACAGCCAAGCTCGCACATCTTTAGAAGTAAAACTAAGGCTATGACTGTGTAAAGTACAAAGACAATTTATTTGGAATTAAAAGCCATCAGTTGTCAAAGAAGTGCAGACAACTTACTTCCAAGGCCCTTCGTGCTTCTCTCTCTATCCAGATAATTGCATGATCAGAAGTAGCATTACAAGAGAGAACTATGTGCTCAAATCTCCCATCCACTGGAACTGCAGTCTTCACAACAGGTGGAAATCGTCCACATCTGTTTTAATGGACCAACATGGTAGTAAAGAAATCAGAGGTTGCAATCATGTGCCTAATAGTAGCCCACAAAACACTGAAGTGTAAAATGGTTCATTATTGATTGTATTGTACTATGCAAACCATTTTGGTGGTCTTTATGACAAACCTGCCGGAATAGATGCTTTTACTCAAAACAGAAACATAATAGTATAGAACTAAAAGTACAATAAATGGTTCTGATCCCCGCGAAGACAAAAAACAATAGGTGATTTCCATTTATTCAAGCCTTGGTGGGCAGATTACCTGGTACCTATGTTGGTAGAAATAGCAGGTACACTGTAGAATATTCAAGGTATGCAAGCTGGCCCAAACACCACACATAGAAAAAGGCATATTCTTACGCACCATCATAGAAATGTTTTCCACATACATAGGCAGGCCATATTATATAAACAACTTGAAACAATTTCATGTAGCACATCCTATAAGTCTGAAAATACCTAAAAGGTTTCCTCTCAACAATGTGGTAGAGGCGACCTGGGGCGTAAAGCCTTCGTGGATCCTTGAGCAACTTCTCTTCTGAGATGCATGTATCTCTCATGCACCTTAGGCATAAGAGGCATGGTAAACTGCGAAAAATAAACAAGCAAATGAAAATAAATGAGGTTATTCATGAAGAGCAAACGTTAGAATGTAAAAAGGCATCTATAATATTGGACCCTCCACTTAATGACTGCTATACTAAGGGAAGCTCGGTGCACTAATGTCCCGCTATGTGCAGGGTCCGGAGAATGGGTGAACACACAAGGGTCTATTGTACGCAGTCTTACCCTGCATTTCTGCAAGAGGTTGTTTCCACTTTCCACAGCTTGTAGGTAATGACACTTTACAAAAACATGGTTCTGTTTCCTTAATTACTAAATTGGATTTTCACACAAACATAAAGTTTTACCAAGTTAACTGAGGTTTAAACACAGTGAAGGGGATATGAACAAAACCTGGAAGTAGAAACAAAAAAAGAGAAGGACTCAAGTTTCCTAGTTGATGGGACACAACCCATCCAGTGCCTCTTAAGATAGTAACTAAATGAGGAATCAGAATTCTTATTCCAAATGAGGGATGGTGTTGTCAAAGGTACGGTTAAGCCGTGAAGCAAGGAGGCAAAAACATGTTAAGCGCTTCGCGTCGCTTAGCGAGCGCTGCAGTGTCTTCACCAAGGCTCTAAGGCACAAATTTCCTTGACAATGAGCATAATCCTGAAGAGGCGACGCCAAATAATTGATATTTCTCTTTATCATAATCTTTTTTCAGTTTCTTTGACCATATATTTTTTTTTGAGAATTAGTATTGTTTCTTTGACCATATATTTGTTAATTCATGTTTGTAATAATAGTCTTGGACAAACATACAAATTTGTATTTTTTTCTCCATTTGTGTCTTTCTTCATTAAAGCCAACTTTGCTTGCGCTTAAAGCCAAACGGACCTTACAGTTTTTTTTGCGTTTTCTACTTCAATAACACTGTGAGGTAATGGACTTTTGAAAGCAAGTACAATATCAAATTTAACTATGTTTTACCAGAATAGTGACTTGAATATATCTTCCAAGGGGGTTGCTGTCCGTGGCAAGAAATCATCCTAATAAAGAAAGAGAAGATGGAGTTAGATTGAAAAAAATTGCAGCACACACAATGGGAGAAAAACTTCAAAGGCAGACTAAAAGACCAGTAGACATTGATAATTGACATCAAAATAGATATCGAAAGATAATGCAACCATTATATACAATAAATGAAACCCCTTGCTTCCTAGGTACAGATTTCAAAGCCAATAAATCGACCTCCCATTGTAAGAAAGACTGAGAGTACACAGGCAGAAGAAAGGACATGATCTGCTTATTGCAGAGTGGATGAGACTTGACAGTTAGCAAAATTGACAAGGCCTTGAAACTACAAAATGTAGAAAGCTACATGCTTCCACACCAAGAGTATCCATCTAGAGTGGTTAAGACTTAAGAATGTGCAAAGTGATGTATGTAGAACTTGCCTGAAGCACAATGGAGTTGATGACATCTGCATATCTCACTGCCAGATTCAGTGACATACATCTAGCTGGTGCAATAGCAAAGCACCTGATTCTTTTCCTATCAATATTGCCCAGCTTGTCAAGATTTTGTGCTATCACCATTGTCAATAACGCTGCTACACCTGACCCAAGTGAATGTCCGGTAATTGTTAAGGTATAGTTTGGATATTTCTCCAGCAATTGCTTCATGATCTCACATTCGGCATTTAACACCAATCCAGCTGCTTTTAATAAGCCATTGTGAACATACCCACCATCAAATTTCCGTTTGCCCAGCTTATTGTCCAACAAGACTGCATAATCACTCTCCTTCGCCAAATTAAGACCTCTAATAGCAAGAACTATGTCAGCATGATCATGATCCAGATATAAGAGATACGGTGGTGCTCGACCACCGGTATCTGGATAGTTTTTCTTCACAATTAAACAATCTGGATTAATTCCATATCCTTCAGGTGGTTCCCACTGAGGTTGTCTAAGATCATCTTCGTATACACCCAATATGTATCGGCATAGCCTAGGGACAGGTTCAAATTCTTCAGCCGTGGCAACACTCCAATTTTCGCTGTCATGTCCTGCACTATGGAGGCACCGCTTCCATGCCCATCGGGCACAAGCTACACCGTATACACATTCAAGGAGAGGGGGTAAACCACAGAGAACGGACATTATTGCCTATGGCCTAGTTGTTAGACTGCTGATTAAGAATGTCCTTGAGACTAACTAGCAGCATAGTCAAAGTCTGCAAGATCAACATAGCAGATAATAAGGATAACTAAATATAAAAGCCACAATGCCCACAACTTAATAGATCACAATTATTCAAACAAATATCAATGATCAGTCAATCAACTACGCCAAAATCTCAAACTAGTTGGGGTTGGCTATATGAATCTTCAATATCCACTCTGTTCCAATTGAGCTCATTTCAGATGTAAACTAAGATTTCCTTGAAACTAGAGAATCTCAGCAATCTTACACAAAACTGAGAGTACAAGTCTCTAAACAGCCTGAAAAGACTGATTCCCCCAATGACATTCATATGAAGAATCATTTAAATCCATGAATCTTGAAAAATCGCATGCAAAGAGTGTCTAATTTTGAGCCAAAAAACTAAATTTAAATAAGAAAGTTCTACATGCATCAAGAAAGATCCTTTCTTCAAACATTTAAAATTTTCATTAATACCCAATAACATAAACTATGATTAGGGGAAAATAACAGTACAAAGACAACACCTTTAACTCTTCAACATTGAAAACATTACCTAAATTGGATCATTCACCTTAGGGCTACTGAACCTCAGAATTTGCATAAAACTTGAGACACCCAAGTAGCAGATTCAAGTGTTGATGAGAATTCTGAAGTCAATGCTGTGGATTCTCACTTCTTAGCAATAGCAATCACCCCACAACTGAGCCAGAAATTAAAATAATCAAATGAAATCAGGACACATGTGTACCAACTATTGCTGAGTTGTTGAAAGTCAACTTGGACTCGGCTAATATATTGAGTATTTAGAGGCCCATGATAAAATTTACTCCTTCACTGAACGGTGTTTTTGATGTCCTTTTCTACCTCTGTTTCTCCATAAATCTCCAAGAGTGCAGTGGTTTAAGGGAAACTGACAAATCTCAAGAGAACATTGGAAAAGGGTTGAAGGAACAAAATTTCAACCTGTTATACCTTTTATAGTAACCAAATCTATGGTGGAAAATTCACACCGAGAAGAGAAACTCTACACATTCAATTTCCAGAACAACCCATTCAATTTGAGTACTGATTTTGTGATTGAAACAGAGAGAATATTGAAAACGCCTTATTTCCGTAAATTATTAGTTTTATCTCTGAATAATTAATAGTCTTAAAAACACTTATTTACTTAATTAGCTAAATTTAAAAATACATTTAATCTTGCAATAAGAGTGAAATACATCATAAATTCTCATCAAATTTAGGGGTGAACACTTATTTACTTGATTAACTAAATTTAAAAATATCTCTTATCTTGCAACATCAATGAAATACACCCCTAAATTCTCGTCAAGTTTAGAAGTATTCTTAACACTTTTTTTTTCATTAAGAGTCAATGCTCCTACGAGAGTTTGAGACTACTTGTTATGTCATGTGACAGATCGGTGTATCTAAGTTTAGGTAGTCATGTAGATGAGTGTTTTAAGACTATCAATAGTTCGGGATGAAACTAATAATTTACGCTAAATTTACAGATGTGTTCAATACTTCTTTCATTAAAAAATGATGGTGATTCGTATATTATTGACACACGGATGTAAAGGAAAAATTAATTTCACAAAGTGCTCAACTTATAAATTTAAATTGAAAAGAAAAATGTAGATTTCTCCGACGATTTTGATAAACATAATGTTTGAATAGATGATTGTGAAGTTTTATTGATAAATTTATATTAAATTTTAAATTCATGATATGTTAATCAAGTCAAATTATTTGTTAATATATTGAAGCTGAAATTATATAACTTAAATGAAGTTTGAATTACATTTGAGTTAGTCTGTTTAATTGAAAAGACGAGCTTAGCTCATGCTTTTTAAATCCAAAATATTCTAAAATTACTTGGAGACCAAATTCTCAAACCCCTAAGTCACCCCTATATAAAGAAGTATTCATAGACCAAAAATAGGGAGAAAATATATTTAAAAAAATTGTTCTTAAGTGGTGATCCGCAAGTATTCCGCAAGTGAAGAATTCTCCGCCTCCAAATTGTAAGTCGCAAATTCTCATATCTTTGCGATTGTAATCAAAGTTTGACTCTTCGATATTAACAATTCAGAAAATGAACATACAAGAAAAATAAAATATAATATATAATTATTATAAAAAAAATATATGATAAAACGATAATCTAATTAGTAAAGAATAAACAAAATCAACAGAAAAGTAAAATAAATAATATATTTAAATTAACACCCCAACACAATATGGAATAACCATCCAAATAAGTTATCATCAAACCAAAAACAAATAAATAAGAGTAGTATAGATCTATCAGTTCAAAATAAATAGGATAAAGTTTTGATTTACAGAGAAACAGGGATCACACAAATAATGTATCAAATCGAAGATGGGTTTGACCCTATCAATAATATTTATAAGATCCCTACCTACCCTCTAGAATATGCTGTTTTATAAGAAAAATTCTGAATTAATAATATTTTGAGCTATTATTAATAAAATTATTATATTGATGAGTAGGTATGTTCTAAACTAAGGTATGATTTCATTTTCCTTTGATGACAAAGACTGTTATAATAGCTTATTCTATTTGAAAGCCTTTTTTGTTTAAAACAACTTTTCGTGCTCTTACTTTTGAGTCTATTAGCGGCAACAAAGGCTGCGGGAACGAGTGTTGTGATTTCCCCGATCGATACCACCATTCATTACTGTGAACCAATCCCATTTCAGTATAGGCATGTATTTCTTTAGAACATATTCATTTCAGAACATAAAATCAAATTGAGAATCAAAATCACGCTTGGAGTCTATCGCTAGAACGAACAACACACCAACTTGTGCTACTAAACTTATACCTGAAACCATAATTTGTGTCATTGAACCAATGTTTGGGGCATAACTTATGCTACTAAATTTATGCCTCACGAATTTTCTTCTGTCTTGCATTTTTTTTCCATTGTTAAAGGCATTTTGCACCCTTTTTTTGTTACTTGAATTAAAATGTTAAAAGATAAAAATTAAAGATCGACCCAAAAACTAAAGATTACATACACCAAAATAAAGGCTTTGTGCAAATGGCCCATGAGATTTTGGTGAGCATGGTCCTACAACTTATTGGGCTTTATTTTCAATTGCAACAATTGTGAGCAATTAAGGTCCAAGCCCAAACGGCCCAAACCCTAAGTCCTCGCGAAGCCTTTGAATTACTATATTACCCTCATAATCGTGGCCTTGGTATATAAAAAACCTAAAACCCTAGTTTCAGCTTATCACCCGCCTCAAGACTCTCAGCAGATCGAATAAAAAATCGAAGGTAAGCAGCGTTCACTCTTTCTTTGTGCTAAAAGCTTGATGTGATGTTGAAACCAGTAAAAGGGTTGAACAATCTGTTAATCATTTGCAAAAAATATTTAAAATTGATTTTGTTTTTGCTGTATGATTGTTAAAGCAGGGGATGGCGCCGCCGAACACAGGATTAGCCGTGGGATTGAACAAAGGACACATTGTAACCAAGAAGGAGCTAGCTCCACGCCCTTCTGACAGAAAAGGGGTATTTTTTCATCCATTTTACTGAGCCTATAGATTGTTGTTTACTGTACTCGATTTCGGCTTGTAATGGTTTAGATTGAAATTTAAATTTAGGTTTATTTTTATTTTGAATCAGGAAAACTAACTCAGTATTTAAATTTAGGTTTATTTTTATTTTGAATCACGAAAACTAACTCAGTGACTATCAGTATGAATTCGTTGTGCAACTAGACTGCATTAGCCATTAAGTAATATGTGTAGCTTTTATTTTTGTTTGTAACATTGATTTTACGCCTATCTCGGATAAAGGATACATATGATATATCAAAGTTTAGAGTTTGTGTATTCAATTTATTCTAGAAGAGTTTGAGATGTGTGGTGTGCAATGGAGCTCATTCTTCGTAACATTAACTGTTTAGTTTGTCATTTGATAGAGGATGGGCCTAAATGTGTATAGCTTTAAACATTAGTGTTGTAGGTTTGTGTGTAGATAGCATTTCTTGAAGTGTTTAGGCAGTTGAAAATTATGATGGTGAATGGGGAGAGTACAGTCTGATCAATAAAAAATTGATCTTTTACTCAAATAGACCCAATACTCATTCTTTTTCTATTGGTATACAAAGATTCCTCACCTGAGAGTAAAATGAGTTTGTAGTGTCTGATATTGACAAGTAAAAAGTCAAAAACAACTACTGGCTTCTATGGCCTATATTTTGCTTTTTGTGTTAGGTTCCTGTACGCATGGTCTAGAACATTCTGTAATGGAGGTAATACCTACTCCTGTCTTCATTGCATCGTCTTGGTGCTAACAATATAACTTCTTCATTCATGAAAAAGGAAATTAACCGGTGTCTACAACAACATTGTGTGATTTGTATAGGTAGGGTCTTTCTGTATTTTCTATTTTGCTAGAAAATTCAGCATTACCTTTTTCAGTTTTGGATGTGCGTGCCATGCTTTGCTTGCGTGAATATTTGTTAGTGACATTTTATTCAGTTGCCTAATTGCTATGTTAATTCAGAAAACAAGCAAAAGAATCCACTTCGTCAGGAATCTCATCAGAGAAGTTGCTGGATTTGCTCCATATGAGAAGAGGATTACTGAGCTTCTTAAAGTTGGCAAGGACAAGCGTGCATTGAAGGTAGCCAAGAGGAAGTTGGGTACCCACAAGAGGGCAAAGAAGAAGAGAGAGGAGATGTCTAGCGTTCTCCGTAAGATGAGGTGATGTCTCGTGATTATTTGTTTTCTCAAGAGTGAAGTCAGATTATTATTTTCCTATCTCTGAAGAAGAATGTGCTAATTCCCTGACTAATATTTCTTTCTGTTTCTCCTTGTGCAGGGCCACCGGAGGTGGTGAAAAGAAGAAGTGAAGTCTTTATCCTTATTTTGTCAATTGAGGAACTGAGTTTATTAGTTATTATACATGATCTTTTTGAATTAGCTATAAAATTCTCTAGACTTGACACAATTATGGCTTTGAATTTTCATTAAGATTGTGACATTATGCTCAACTTTCAAGTTCAAGTCTACACTCTAGTTATGTTCTGTATTTTATATTTTTGTCAAATTGTGTTACTCCTTGCTCTTTGTGGTGGCGATGGCTTATACGTTGCTCACTTCCCTGTGAAGTTGACCTAGGTTTTCCCTATACTTGAGAACAATATGTTTATTCCGAAATGCCTACGTCGAAAGAAAAGGCAGTCTTTAAGTGAATGCACCCGGTTCTGCCTTAAATTGCTAAAAGAAAAGCGAACCGGCTAGCGCCCGGAAGAGATGTGTACTGGCCTGCCCTAAAACAAACTCATACTTTCGTTTTTTCCTCCCTCCAAATCCAATGGCCTCAAACAAGTTCAATTTACTGTCTTGTGTGAGTAGCACACCAATCCTATAGTTCTTTGGTTAATTTAAAACGTTGAAGATTTTTTTACATTTGTTGCTAACTAGTTTGAGTCAGATTTTTTGGCTTTTTTGAAATGCAGAACTATACATCTGCTAGTAAAAATATTAGTATCGTTACAATTCTTTCTAACCGTCTGAATTCATTCAAGTTAGTATTTGTGGTAAGAATAAAACTGTCAAAACGTAAGCTCTTATAAAATTGGAGAAGATGAAGAATATAAAAAAACCTTTATATGTTGATATAAATTCAAAGGATTTGACTTAGCAAGGACTATTTGTACTTTTTTTTCTCGAGATTTTGTATCCTTGCATCACTCTAGTATTTTAAAATTATTCATTGAAATCAAAATTTCGATAGAACGGTGATAAGGTAAACCCACATTTTATACCAGAAAATACTTATCCTTAATCTTTGTAACCAAACGAGTGAAGGACCCCAGTGTTTACACCAATTCTCATATTACCTCTTTATTTACATAGACTGTTATCCCTTGCAATTATTAGTTATTGCACATTCACACATGTACTCTATATTGATGAGTCACAGTGAGATGAATAGACGCAGCACCATCTTTTAAAATGAAAATTTGAAATCGTTAGCTTTTGTAATCAACCTCTCTTTTCTTTGTGTGTTGTCCAGAGGAGGAGGACTATCACGTCTT